TAGTTTTCGAAAATGTCTATTGCGAAGGTTTTAGAAATATTTATTGAGATTTACTTAATTCACACTTGATATACTATGGACAATTAGGAAAGAATAGTGTATATATTTATATATACTTAGTTAGTTATACAAATAAATTATATATATAATATAATCAAATGGCAACCCTGCTTTATCAACCATTCCGTGATAATATCAATATCATTCACGGTTGCAAGGCATTATCAACCCCTAAAATGAATGACGTCATGTCATCGATATAAAACAATAGTATCTTATCTAATCAAGAACTCTATAGTATCTATTGTAACAGTCTGACCTTAAAATATGATTGTCTTGCATTTGCTGATTTATAAATTTCTCTTCTACTTTAGTTTAAGTTTTAATGAAAAATGGAAGACTTGTCCTGATAGGCAAGTAAATTTCTCCATGCTACCTGAAAAATACAATTGATAAAATGTTCAATGAAAAAAATGTATGTGCCTTTAAAGCGTAGGCTGTCAAAGATATACGCGTGTATGCACTCATGTGCATGTTTTCAGCAGGAGGACAAACAATAACTTTCCCTTAATATCAATATTGTCGATGCTATATTATTGTTTCATTGACCTGTTCTTCACATTGTCTAGTGGAACAATTAAACTTTGGGCTATCTCCCTAAGAGTTCCAAGTGGTGAAGTTGAGATCATCCTGTCGAAAATTTTACGGACGCCATCATGAGTTTGTTGACCGTTATGGAATATATGTTTCATAGATGACAACGGACATGTTACAATTGTCGTTACCTTACTCCTGTCCTCATTCCCCGAATGTGACCTACAAGATTTGTACTTACATGAGCACCACTACGGGTACCACATGTGGAGCAGGATCTGCTTACCCTTCCAGAGCACCTGAGACCACCCCCGGTTTTTTTTATTTTAATTTGTTTTCGTGATGCTCAGGCTTTAGTTTTCTGTGTTGTGTTTTGTATACTGTTGTTTGTCTTTTAGTTCTTTTCTTTTTTGCCGTGGCCTTTACTTTCGATCTTCGGTATCTTTCGCCTCTCTTTTACATGTGATAAGTTTGTGGCACTTGCTTTTGAAATAAAAAGATTGGTAAGGCTTTTATAAAAGTCTAAAAATTATTAGAAAATCATATTACTGCATGCACAATTTTTACAACAATTTATTTTTTTCACAACACTTAGTAGGATAGTCTGTCCTTTTTAATTAATGATATAAAACCAATAAAAAAATTAAACTAACATTATGTACACGATTTAAAGTGTACGATTTTTCTAATTCAAAAAGGGTAGCGGTGGCCAAGTGGTCTATGTATTTCATCTGCTGTATCATTAGCCTGTCAACACTGAGGTTGTGAGTTCGAACTCCGCACCTGGCATTTGCGTTTGATTCCAATCGTAGTTGACTAGTATGGCCAGTTTTCTGCCGAAAGTATTTGATTCTATTCGGGCCCTACGGCTCCCTGGCCGCAACCATATAGCCAAGAGTGCTGATGTGGAATTAAACATTAACAATCAATGAATGACTCAATTAAATTCAAAATTCCTTAAACGATTTTTTTTAAAGATATTTCACTACTCAAGCTGTTGATGAAGGCATTTTGTTAACCTGAAGATGTCGTTTCGAATCTAGTTGGTTGGATTGCTGTCTAAATGACATATACATCTACTGACAGCATAATAAAACTGTAAGGTATACTTTAAGGGGGGTTTGTTTTTGGCTATTGCTCTCACTTGTTAACCAAGCTGAAATCATCCATTCGTAAATTTTACGGACTCCATCACGAGTTGGTCGACCATTATGGAATATCTGTTTCAAAGATGACAACGGATATGTGCCAATTGTCGTAACTACAATCCATCCCCCTTTTCCCCGAATGTGACCTACCGAAGAAGACTTATCACCGGGTTTGTACTAACATGAGCAACATGTCGGGTGCCACATGTGGAGCAGGATCTGCTTACCCTTACGGAGCACCCGAGATCACCCCCAGTATTTGATCGGGTTTGTATTGCTCAGTCTTTAGTTTTCTATGTTCTATGTTTTGTGTTTTGTGTTTTGTGTACTGTTGTTTGTCTGTTTGTTTTTTTCTTTTTTAGTCATGGCGTTGTCAATTTATTGTCGACTTTGAGTTTTAATGTCTCTTTGGTAACTTTTGCCTCTCTTTTATGAGCTGTAGAATAAAAAAGTACGTAAATAGCCAAATGTATCATGAACTTTGCCTGAGGGAGTTTCTTAGTCATTTAAAAATTGACCGAAGAGGAATATACTTATCAAATTGAACGGAAATATAGAATATGACACGATTGTCCCAACCACCTTGTTTTGAGTGTTAACAGTCACAAATCACGTCAAATATTATAAATTTCGAGTTTAAATTCAGTCATGACAGGCGGAACATGTGCAAAATTAAAGATCGAAAAAAAATACACTTTGTTAATCTCTAGTTAAAAATCAACGATTAAAGCAATTGCAAACTAAATAAAAATAGGCGAGAAAAAAAATAAACATATAAACTACCATTTGATGAATAATAGGTCATGTTGGGACTAACACTGAATCCAAAAAATAATAAAACATAAATGCGACTAATCAAACAAAATGAGACTTGCGCACGAAAACAATAGAGATACAAACAAAGATGTTATGTTTAGGCAAAACGAACAAAATGTTATGTTGTGAGCTATACGAACAAAAAGGTAATGCTCCCGAATTGGAAAAATAACAGTAATAAAAACACTTATAATATCAAAATTTAAAATATTCCTATCAGTACCTAGTCGAAATTATACAACTGTGCACCACTTATTGCGGACCTTTTTTTGTATTGCTATGAGTTACAATTTATGACAAAAATCAGTAAAGACCCATCGAAACAACATCTGATACACAAATTTAATAATACTTTTAGATATTTGGATGATATTTTGGCTCTCAATAATGACGACTTCAGTATGTATACTAAAGAAATTTATCCTGTTGAACTTACTTTAAATAAAGCTAATACTAACAATGACCACTGCCCTTTCCTCGATCTTGATATCTATATCATTAACGGAAAGCTTAATACTAAAATATATGATAAAAGAGATGATTTTTCATTTCCTATCGTTAATTATCCATTTTTAGATGGTGACGTTCCCTTGTCACCATCTTACGGTGTTTATATATCTCAACTTGTACGATTCGCTCGTGTATGTAACAATGTTTTAGATTTTAACGAGAGAAATTTATGTATTACTGAAAAATTATTACACCAGGGTTTTCGATATCACAAACTAGTCAAAACATTTACTAAATTTTATCATCGGTATAAGGACATCATTCGTAAATATAGCTCAACATGCAGACTTCTTATACGTTCAGGTATTTCATATCCAATTTTTTATGGAAATATTCTTTATAAAGCACAAAAATGTCAGTATTCACCTCTGAAACTAACAAAACCTTTAAATAGACTTATTAAGAAGGGATATAGTTACGATACTGTTGTCAGGTCATTAAAGATTGCATATTTTGGCGTTAATATTGATTCACTTATAGGGTCTTTGCATCGGCACTAAACACATTTATTTAAAAACCAGTTGTTGGCATGACACGGGTTATGTTCTTCTCATATATGTTATGATGGTATGATACTAAACCCCTAACGGGAAGGATTGTGCCTGATATTCATATGATGAAGACATAATCTTTCAATCAGTTTAATTGAAGTCTGGAGCTGGCATGTCAGTTAACTGCTAGTAGTCTGTTGTTATTTATGTATTATTGTCATTTTGTTTATTTTCTTTGGTTACATCTTCTGACATCAGACTCGGACTTCTCTTGAACTGAATTTTAATGTGCGTATTGTTATGCGTTTACTTTTCTACATTGGCTAGAGGTATAGGGGGAGGGTTGAGATCTCATAAACATGTTTAACCCCGCCGCATTTTTGCGCCTGTCCCAAGTCAGGAGCCTCTAGCCTTTGTTAGTCTTGTATTATTTTTAATTTTAGTTTCTTGTGTACAATTTGGAGTTTAGTATGGCGTTCATTATCACTGAACTAGTATATATATTTGTTTAGGGGCCAGCTGAAGGACGCCTCCGGGTGCGGGAATTTCTGTCTGCATTGAAGACCTGTTGGTGGCCTTCTGCTGTTGTCTGTTCTGTGGTCGGGTTGTTGTCTCTTTGACACATTCCCCATTTCCATTCTCAATTTTAAAGCTTAAATTCTTGGACAAAACATTTTTTCTTATCTGGAAAAACAAACCAGATAACGTTGAAAGATACACTTTATCCTAACCGCACTGTACAGGAGGTCTAAATTTATAAGTTATACGCTTTGAACTAGATTATTTACTAGATGCACTGTTTTAATTGCATAATTTTTTTATCTCTATTGATTTTTTTTTTTTGATTTTTTTTTGATTTTTTTTTTTAAATTTCATCATACTTTATGGAAAATTTTTCACATTTGTTAGTTAGAGACAGAAAGTATTGGTACCTTATCCCAGCCTCGTTAAACATTAGATTGTATTTATATATAAGCTAGTTAGTAATTGTTAATATTCTAAATTATGAAATATACATTACTATAGTATTATGTATCCATTATTTCCATATTGTTCAATTAAGAGAGAACTGTATTTCAGATCTCTATTGATTATAGTTGATTTTTATTGTTTGCCAGTTTTATACACGATATATTTTATTGAGTATGAACTTTTCAGACGGATAGAGTTCAACCCCGGCCATCACTTGATAATTTTTTTGCTCTTGATATTTATATTTTTGTTTATTCCTTGAATTTACTTTATAGTGACTAATTGTTCCATATAATGGTTATAAAACATTCAAAGTGTTGATATCTTTGTTTGGTGTACATTGTATCATATTGTGGTCACTTAACGTGAAATTCTTAAATTCATCACAAAAGAAAATATGTAAAACATCAAGAAAAATCAATATTGACATTTTTTACTTTTTTGAAAATACATACATAAAGTTTACTGGTATTTCATAGCTGGAACAGCGTTCTATTGATATTTTTTCTAGAATAATTAGGTTGTCAACGTTATGTATTTCAACTTATTTGTTTTTCACAAATAAAACGATTTGTTTTTTTGCAATAATCACCTAACCATGTTCCAAGCGCGAAAGAAGATTTGATACACAAGGTATCATCTCCTCTTGGTTTTTCAAGCCAAGGGAGGTAATTCGTATTACTACCATCTATCCATTTATATTTCAGATTACTAAGTCTCTGTAATCCAATCCAAAAATCGGCACCAGACGAGTGCTTAGTAGTTTGACTTATTATGAAATTGTGTTCCTCTTTAGAACGAATGATAACTAAATCTGCATTATTTTTCTTACAAGAATTACGGGCATCAACAAAATTAGCAAGTGCTGTATTTATTGAATAACAAGAATTCTTATAATATACCCACACACCAGATCCACATCTTGGATAAATTTGTCTTTTGCATATAAATCTAAACGACATAAAACAACTGTTGTCATTCCACTTTTTAGACTTTGAAAGAAAAAGGTGTGCACAGTTTTCGTTATTATTAACGTCATTCGGTTCAGTTCGTCCCCAATAAGTATAATCTAAACTCGTGCCGTCACTCCACATATAACTCCCATTGTTTTTGAAATTGCTGAGTCCTATCCACAGAAACTTCCGGGTAAAACTGTTGATAAGGAAATTGGTTTCCTTTTCATTATGAACACTAACAAGATCAGTTCCAATACTTCGACAATAATCACGAGCTTGAAACCATGTTCGCTTTTCTGAAAACTCTTTATAACACCAATCTTCGAATTTCTTCCAGTCATTTGGACATTTTGTCCAACTTTCTGATATCTGAAAACCTGTGCTTTCATTTCCGTTATTTTCGCTTTTTTTTCCGTTATTTGTGCTTTCTTTTGAAGGAATATCAACTTTTGTATTGTATCGAGATTGTATTACCATGTACGTAAGTCCAGCTGCAAATGCACATGCTAATATAATAACTGTAGTGAACGCAATCCATAATTTTATTCGACATTTGTTATCAGCAATGACAGATGAATAGTTTTCATTTGAACTTGTTGGTTGTAAGTCGTCATAGTTTTGATGATGAATTGAAATGGTTCCAAGATGTGTATATCCTATCTCGTTAAAAGGTTCTTCGTATGAATCATATATGCTCTCAATTGTATTATCCATTATACAGGCTTTATCGTCTACAATGACCGTTTCTCGTTACAAAATTTTACACAAGCGGATATAAATTAACATCTTATCTGCAAAATCACGTTGTATAATTTGCTACGGATGATACTATAACACTATTTATGACAAATGAGGAAAACACAGATGTCAAGTCTGGAAAACACAGACTTCACCAATCAAATCAAAAGACAACTTTTATTTCCGTGACAATATATCTTTTACCTTTTTACGTGTCTGACCCATTAAACACACACAGTTTTAGTTATTTTTAATTGTGTTATTTCATTGTTGTTACAACCTGGAGATAATTTGATATAAACCCTGTACAATCGCCAATTACAAATGTATTAAACATATTATATTTGTATACAAAGCAAAAATGATAAGACACAAGAGATCGAAATGAAAAACAGCTTCTCCATATATACGTTTATACAATATTATAAATGCAGATTAGTAAATGGCAATTATTAAGCGTTTCAGACTGACACGGGACAGATAACCGGGTCGATTAGAAAAAATCGTGTATTATTTTTCTTATCATATATTTCCAATGTACGCACGCAACCAGGCTTATAACCATTATCATACTGACCACGTGATATCAGATAGGGCTGACATGGGGTTATCAACTAGCGTGCTTTCGAAAAGTTCTTTAAAACGTTCATTCACACTTCGGTTTCTTTGGTATCTTACCCTTCTCTTGGTGATTCAGTAAATAACATTCATCTGTTGTTACCATCTACAAGAAATATCGAAACGTTTAAGGCTGTATCGAAATGCAGATTATTTTGTTGTGTTTTCATGAATTGTATTAAATAGTCACAAACCATATTGTCATCTTTTTAATTTTTCTATGAATTATACACTGGCCAAGCACTTTAGTATACGTATACGGGACATAAAGAAATCAAAAGATAACATTTCGAATTCATGGAATTGGAATATGAGAAATAGAGGCGGAAGATATTAAATTGACTCATTCAACAACATATATGTTTCAAATTGCGAATGAAACATACATAGCAGGAGAAGCTTACCCCTGTCGACCCAACCGGTTTATTTCCTTTTTGGGAGTTCATGCAATTCCGCCAGTTTTGTGTGGTATCTTAATTTTTCTTCTTTGTAGGTTTATGTTAATTTGAACACCGGTAGGGAACTGTTGCCTATAATTCCTAGTTTTTGCGTCTATGGTTAATTTAGAAAAATATAAATGAGACATGTCTTTTCGAATTAATATTCTTTGCAGATATGTGAATGACATAGTGGTGAGAAAAATAATGTTAATTAGAAACCATCGCTGTGTCACAAAATGCAGTACACATTTTTCATATACATCTTAAAGATAGAAATATACGATTGTATATCAATGATACAGAAACTAACATTACAACTTATTCAAAAAAGACATTTAATGGAAACCATGCTGTCTGAAACAATGAAACAACTCGTAAATAGTATGACAAGCTCTCAATCATCCAGACGATTCGTGCATAAATTCAATACACACTATTTAATTCATGAGACCAATTTCAATAGAGGAAATATATATAAAAACTTAAAAGTCATTTGTTATCATTTAAACGGATCGAGTAAAAATCAACTGTCATATTCAGAAAAAAATGGTTGGTTAAACATTTCCGATATGAAATATTGAGAAGCTTTAGTAAAGTAAACAACACAATTGAAAAGTACCTTCAGCTATCTATCAAAAACTATTTACATTTTTGATACGGTGTTATGAAGTAACGCTTTTTTATCTATAGTTGTCTGTAACACAAAATTTACAAGTAATATGCTTTGAACTGGATCATTTTCTAGATACACTCTTTTTATTGCATAATATTTGCCTCTATTGATTATGGTTGATTTTAAATGTTTTGTCAGTTTTATACATGATTTATTTTATTGAGTATGAACTATTTATCAGACTCATGGAAATCAACCCCGGCCATTACTGGACATTTGTTTTGCTCAAGGTATTTATATTTTTGAGTGTAATATTTGTAGACTATTGGTTGGGTAGTATTTGTTTGTGTATTTTGCCATTGCCACATTGTTGACAGTCCTACCTCTACGTAAAGCAACCGATATTTATTTCTTATATCTAAAAAAAAGAGGTGAAAGATACCAAAGGGACATTTAAACTCACAATTCGAAAATAAACTGACAACTCCATGGATAAAAAAGAAAAAGACAAACAGACAAACAACAGTAAACAAAGCACAACATAGAAAACTAAAGACTGAGCAACACGAACCCCACCAAACACTGGGAGTTAACTCAGGTGCCTAGAAGGGTTAGCACCAGGTATAATGAATACATATTTGTACACATCTTTGATGTTTAGTTGAATTGTATCATAGCTTTCGTTATCTAGGATCCATTGGTAGCTAAATATACGGTATGTGTTCTGTTTATTCCTTGAATTTAATTTAAGTGACTTATTGTTCCAGTGACGTTTATCTAATGGTTATAAAACATTCAAAGTGTTGATACTGAAAGAAAAAAGTCAGGATCTTTGATCAGTGCGTATTGTAAAATATTGTGGCCACTAAACATGAACTTCTGTAATTCATCACAAAAGAAAATATCTAAAACATCACGGAAAATTATTGTTGACTTTTATTACTTTTTTAAAAAATACATACATAACGTTTCCTGGTATTTCATAGCTACAACAGTGTTCTACTGATTTTTTTCTGGTATAATAAGGTTGTCAACGTTATGTATTCCAACTGACTTGTTTTTCACAAATAAAACGATTAGTATTTTTGCAATTATCACCTAACCATGTTCCAAGCGCGAAAGAAGATTTGATACAAAAAGTATTATCTCCTTTGGGTTCTTTAAGCCAGGGGAGGTAAGTCGTATTACTACCATCTATCCATTTATATGTCTGATTCCTAAGTCTCTCTAATCCCATCCAAAAATCGGCACCCGACGAGTGCTTAGTAGTTTGACTTACTATAAAATTGTGTTCCTCTTTAGAACGAATGATAACTAAATCTGCACTATTTTCCTTACAAGAATTACGGGCATCAACAAAATTAGCAAGTACTGAATTAATTGAATAACAAGAGTTCTTAAAATATACCCACGCACCAGATCCACATCTTGGATAAATTTGTCTTTTGCATATAAATCTAAACGACATAAAACAACTGTTGTCATTCCACTTTCTAGACTTTGAAAGAAAAAGATGTGCACAGTTTTCGTTATTATTACCATTATTCGGTTGTGATGGTCCCCAATAAGTATAATCCAAACTCGTGCCGTCACTCCACATATACCTCCCATTGTTTTCAAAATTGCTGAGTCCTATCCATTGAAACGTCTTTGAAAAATTGTTGTTTAGAAAATTGGTTTCCTTTTCATTATGAACACTAACAAGATTAGTTCCTATACTTCGACAATAGTCACGAGCTTTAAACCATGTTCGCCGTTCTGAAAACTCCTTGTAACACCAATCATCAAATTGTTTCCAGTCATTTGGACATTTTGTCCCTATTTCTGATATTCGGAAACCTGTGTTTTCATTTCTGATATTTTGGCTTACTTTTGCCTTAATTTCTGATATCCGAAAACCTGTGCTTTCATTCCCGTTAATTTCGTTTACTTCTTTTGAAGGAAAATCCATTTTTATATTGTATCGAGATTGTATTACAATGTACGTTAGACCAGCTGCCAATGCACATGCTAATATAGTAACAGTAGTGAACGCTGTCCATAATTTTTTTCGACATTTGTTATTAGCAATAACAGTTAAATAGTTTTCATTGGAACTTGTTGGTTGAAAGTCGTCATAGTTTCGATGATGATCTGAAATTTTTCCAAGATGTGTACATCCTATTTCGTCAATAGGTTCTGCGTATGTATCATATATGTTGTCAATTGTATTATTCATTATACAGGCTTTATCGTCTACAATGACCGTTTCTCGTTATAAAGTGTTACACAGGTGGATATGAATTAACATTTTATGTTTACAATCATGTTTTATAATGCGCTTCGGATGATAATGTTGTACTTTTGATGACTAGTGTGGAAAACACTGATTACAAGTCTGGAAAACACAGACTTCACCAATTAAACTAAAAGATCATTTCTATTTCCGGTATATCTTATACTTTATTTGTGTATCTGACCTATAACACATGCACATATTACATTTGTAATGTTTTTCTACTTATTCTTAATTGCGTTTATTTTCGTCGTTGTTACACAAGAGAGGCTAAAGATACCAAAGGGACATTCAAACTCAAAATTCGAAAATATATTTACAACGCCATGGCTACAAAAAGAAAAATACAAACAGATAAACAATAGTACACAAAACACAACACAGGACACTAAAGACTGAACAACACGAACCCCACCAAAAACTGGGGTGATCTCAGGTGCTCCAGAAGGGTAAGCAGATCCTGCTTCATATGTGGCAACCGTCGTTTATGTTAGTACACATCCGGTAATAAGTCTAATTCAGTAGGTCACATTCAGGGGGAAAAGGGGACGCGATTGTAGTTACGACATTTGGAACATATCCGCATCATCTGTGAAACGGATATTCCATAACGGTCAATCAACTCGTGATGGCGTCTTTACAATTTACGAAGGGATGATTTCAACTTCACCACTTGGAACCCTTGGTTTAATAGCTTACTTGTGAGCAGCAACCCTCTATCAAGGAAATCATGACAGGAAATACAAGCCCTGGAATATCGTATCCACTGGGAGATATATACTTCGTATGCAGGCGCTGCTGCAATGTTTCCACATAGAAATGTAAAGTTCACAATTGGGAAGCTGAAATCATTTCTCTTGTCGTAAAGTTTTGTTTTTAACCGACCCTCTTTGTCGATTTCTAGATGTAAGTCAATATATCTGTTGTTTCCTTTATCTCAAGTTCGATGGGATAGATGCGTTCAACATAGTCACCAAATTTTGATTTATTTAGTGAGAGAACATCATCTTTATAGCGGAAAGTTAAAGGATAATGCTAACTTCTTTTCTTTCTTCCTCATATGAATAAAGTAACAAGTCGGCAAGAAGAAGAGCACAGTTGGTTTACATGGGAATGCCGATTGTTTGTTGAAAAATTCGTTATCCAAACATAACAAATATGTTGTAAATCAAGAAATCAAGAATATCTTGATAATGTCAGTTTTAGAGAATTTTTTGTTTGAATCAGAGTGATTTATCCCTCCCCAAGACAAGGTACTTGTTTCTACGTTGGCCATTATTTTTTATGAAACAAAGCAGGGCCAACTCTTTCAATCTGCCTTTTAGTTTGGAATGGGGAATACTTGTGTAAAGTGTAGAGAAGTCAAATAGTTTAATACTATAACAAGATGAAAGAGTCTTAGATTGTATGTATCTACAAATAAGAGATACTCCGATTAAAACCCTGTACAATCGCCAATTACAAATGCATTAAACATATTATATTTGAACAACAGTGCAAAACAGATAATACACAAGAGAATCAAAATGTAGAACAGCTTCTCCGTATGCACATTTATAAAATATTATACATACTGATTGATAAATGGAAATTAGTAAGATCCCCGGACTGACACGGGACAATCTTGGAATGATAACTGGACCGATATTAAAAAAGTCATATATTAATTTGCCTATCGTATATACTTCCTAATGAACGAAAGCAACGAGGTTTATAACCAATAACAGACTGACCACGTGATATCAGATAGGACTGACACGGGGTTATCAACCAGCGTGCTTTCATTTATTGAAAACGTTTATATACACCTCGGCTGCTTCGGTATCACGCTTCTTGTGTTGATTCAGTAAATATCATTCATCTTTGGTTTGGCTGCAAATACAAACCTGGTCAAATCTTAATTCAGAATATGATGTAATATATGTGTAACATGCAAATACTACTTTTAAAAACAACGTTTAACATTATAATATATGAGGTATAGATTTGGAAAAAAAAAAATGAAACGGTACAAACGTGATGTATATATATATATATATATATATATATATAGAAGTCTATAAAAAGGACCAACCAGCAAATTTACTATATACCGGATCGTCTAGAATAGACGATACTGTGCAGATAAGGAAATAAATTATATAAGTCTAGAGATTTGCACAACGATACTTATATAAGATGGTATTATACGATGATGTTGTTATTAAATCGTGTTGACAAATATTTCGGTTTAACAAATAGCCTTCTTTAGTGTCAATTATTTAAACAATACTGGTTATTGTTAAATAATTGACACTGAAGAAGGCTATTTGTTAAGCCGAAATATTTGTCAACACGATTAAATAACAACATCTTCGTATAATACCATCTTATATAAGTATCGTTGTGCAAATCTCTAACTTATATATATATAAATATATACAAGTCTAAATTGAAAACAACGTTCAAACCTATGAGTTGGATAAAAACCGCAATTTTTATACGTGTGCATGCAAAACAAATTTCTTGTTAGAGGGGTCTAAATACAGCACAAACAACAATTTCCAAAAGACCAAAAAAGTGAAAAAGTATATTTTAACAAAACGCATTTGACTAACTGGTCGAGCAACAAATGTTCTTAAACCCTGCTGACTGCCATTGGCGATTGCCAAATAAACGGATCACCGATGTAATAAATGGATCTTAATTATAAATTTAATACTAAACAGAAAACAATAAACTTGCGGAAAAGATGATATACCGCAAACAAAAGGTGCAAAGGTTTTTGTACACCATACCCGGATTTCGACAATTAATGTCTCTTCAGTGATGTTAGGAATCGAAACGGTATTTGGAAAGCCATACAATTTACCTCAATTTAGGATAGACTCTTGCATTTTGAGGAGTCAAAATAGGATGAACTGATCATATAAACCCGAAGGTAAATATAATACAAGCCCAAACGAAAAAATATAAACAAGTCTAAATTGAAAACAACGTTCAAACCTATGATTGCGTTGGATAAAAACCGCAATTTTTATATGTGTGCATGCAAAACAAATTTCTTGTTAGAGGGGTCTAAATACAGTACAAACAACATTTTCCAAAAGACCAAAAAAGTGAAAAAGTATATTTTAACAAAACGCATTTGACTAGCAGGTCGAACAACGGATGTCCTTAAACCCTGCTGACTGCCATGGGGATTGCCAAATAAACGAATCACAGATGTAACACAATGGATCTTAATTATATTAATTTAATACCAAACAGAAAACAATAAACTTGCGGAAAAGATGGTATACCGCAAACATGAGGTGCAAAAATTTCTACACCATATCCGGATTTCGACAATTAATGTCTCTTCAGTGATGTTAGAAATCGAAACGGTATTTGGAAGGCCATATAATTTACCTCAATTTGGGATGGACTCCTGAATTTTGAAGAGTCAAAATAGGATGAACGGATCATATAAACCCGAAGGCAAATATAATACAAGCCCAAACGAAAAAATATAGATGTCTCTTCAGTGATGTTAGGAATCGAAACGGTATTTGGAAGGCCATACAATTTACCTCAATTTGGGATAGACTCCTGAATTTTGGAAAGTCGAAATAGGATGAACGGATCATATAAACCCGAAGGCAAATATAATACAAGCCCAAACGAAAAAATATAGACAAGTCTAAATTGAAAACAACGTTCAAACCTATGATTGCGTTGGATAAAAACCGCAATTTTTATACGTGTGCATGCAAAACAAATTTCTTTGTAGAGGGGTCTAAATACAGCACAAACAACATTTTCCAAAAGACCAAAAAAAATGAAAAAGTATATTTTAACAAAACGCATTTGACTAGCAGGTCGAACAACAAATGTTCTTAAACCCTGCTGACTGCCATGGCGATTGCCAAATAAACGAATCACAGATGTAACACAATGGATCTTAATTATATTAATTTAATACCAAACAGAAAACAATAAACTTGCGGAAAAGATGGTATACCGCAAACATGAGGTGCAAAAATTTGTACACCATATCCGGATTTCGACAATTAATGTCTCTTCAGTAATGTTAGGAATCGAAACGGTATTTGGAAGGCCATATAATTTACCTCAATTTGGGATAGACTCCTGAATTTTGAAGAGTCGAAATAGGATGAACGGATCATATAAACCCGAAGGCAAATATAATACAAGCCCAAACGAAAAAATATAAACAAGTCTAAATTGAAAACAACGTTCAAACCTATGATTGCGTTGGATTAAAAACCGCAATTTTTATACGTGTGCATGCAAAACAAATTTCTTTGTAGAGGAGTCTAAATACAGCACAAACAACATTTTCCAAAAGACCAAAAAAGTGAAAAAGTATATTTTAACAAAACGCATTTGACTAGCAGGTCGAACAACGGATGTTCTTAAACCCTGCTGACTGCCATGGACATTTCCAAATAAACGAATCACAGATGTAACACAATGGATCTTAATTATATTAATTTAATATCAAACAG